TGTCCTTTAAGTAGGATTCAAACCAATTTAGAACTGTTGATGAAAGTCCCACCCGGTTTTCCAGTCGGTCTAGTAATATGTTGTGGTCAACAGTGTCAAACGCAGCACTGAGATCTAATAATACTAACACTGAAGTTCTGCCACTGTCTGTGTTTAAGTGGATGTCATTGAAGACCTTTACAAGAGCAGTCTCAGTGCTGTGGTTTGGTCGAAAGCCTGACTGGAACACATCGAAACAGTTATTTAAATGCAAGAAATTACTCAACTGTTGAAAAACTATTTGTTCAACTATTTTACCTAGAAATGGCAGGTTTGATATGGGCCTGTAATTGTTCATTACTGAAGCATCTAGATTATTATTTTTTAAGAGCGGTTTAATGACTGCAGTTTTCAGGGCCTGTGGAAAAACACCTGAGTGAAGAGACTTGTTTACTATATGAAGTAGATCTGAGGCCATGCAATGAAAAACATTTTTGGAAAATCCTGTAGGAATAATATCAAGGCAGCAAGAGGAGGATTTCAGAAGTTGAATACTGTCCTCTAGGTTTTTATCATTAATCTGATGGAATTGTGTCATGGTGTTTGAATTGATTTTATGTACAACACATGTGCTATACCTGATGCAGAGGCACTGACTGCTTGTCTAATGTTCTGAATTTTGTCAGTGAAGAAGGAGGCAAATTCATTGAGTAAAGAATTCTGAGTAAACATTTCCCTAGTGTTTTCAGTTAAATATCGCTTTGTGGTTACCTCTTTTTGAACATTTTTGTGAACAGAAATAGAGCTCTCAAAGAAAACACAGGAATGGTCAGAGAGTGCAACATCAGTCACCACAACCTTAGAGATATTTAGACCCTTTGAGATAATTAAGTCCAGAATGTGCCTCTTATTGTGCGTAGGCTCCGTCACATGCTGAGTCAGTCCATAGTTATCAAGAACACAAAACAGTTCTTTAGCCCCTCTGTCCTGAAAAACAGTTATGTGGCCCCTCTGTGTAACCCTAACGTGGGGGCTTTCGCTTGCACATTTTTGTTGCTGCTTAATTGTATTGTTTTATCTCAATATTTTTGCTGTATGTAAATCGTTTGTAACTCATCAGGTACACATTCACAGTATTTAAATACAATTTGGAAGTGAAAACAAGAAACTGACTGGCTTTTAAATCCTGTAACAATGGGGTTTCAAGTGCACACAAAGTTTATATTCCAGAAAAACTCTGCAGAACCATCAGAAATGTCTTACAATAGAAGAAAATATATATATAATGTAATCCATGAAACCAGTTGCATGAAAGATTATTTTTGGAGAGGATCATGTGATTGCATTCATGATGGTCATTCTTGGTTCCTTCCACAACTTGATGAGGTAGATTAATAATTGCTTGAATACATCATTTATTAAAAGATAATCATTATTGCAGATACAAAGTACGTCTCAGAGTCCAATTACCAGGAAACATTATTCAACCCATATGTGACTGATAGAGGTATTCAACAAGGCATCCCTTTATCTGACTGTGTCGACTTTTACTGCCCTTTTTACAACAGGCATTTTGGATCGGCATACCAGGAAAATGTAAAACCCTAATGTTTATGATGTCTCCGATCTGTTTGAAGTGCCAATGAGTTTCGAATACTGATACCTCTGATCCTGATTAACCTTAATGAAGGGCAGCCAAAAAAAGCTGACTATGGCACAATTCCAAACCACCGCCAGTGCTTCTCAAAGTATGGTCCGCGGACCACTGGTGGTCCATGAGCGCCCCCTAGTGGTCCGTGAGTATATTGGTAACATTTCACATTTGAAATAAATAAATAAATTTCAATTTTCCGCACTCTCGCGGGGATGTCTCCGCAATGGAGCGAGCTTAAGTTTCACTTTCGATTGCATGATATAGCCCAGCGCAACACCTTCATCACACATGTTGCCACTTGTTTGTACCATTTTCAGGCGATTTGTAATCTGTTCTAGAAAAACGATGTGTTTTTTTATATTTGTGGAGTTAGGTGGTCCGCGAGTGTTTTTTTATTGGTTAAGTGGTCCTTGGTATGAAAAAGTTTGAGAAACACTGCCCTACACCCTACCCCTCCGTTTGCGCGTTTGCGCGGAGGGTCCGCCACATTAAGTGCTGTTCCAAACCAACGAGTGTGGAGGGGGAGTGGGTTATCAAGCCCTCCAACAGCGAGTCTGCATCGGTCCTGACTTCACCTGCTGCCCTACATGACCGGACCCAACGCTGTGAGTGTCCGTCAGGAAACACGCTGCTTAAACACAATTAAAGATATTTGGAGTTTTATTTTAGTTATTAATTTTAATTTTTTGTCCAAGAGATTCTGATTTGAAACCGTTGTTACATACAGTTACGGCATTTCCTGTTTCTACCAGAGAGAGGGGAGTTTGTCCCAAAGCTTGCCGCTGTATTTAATGTACTCCCTCCATCTGACATGAGGAGGGAGCCTCGTTTAGCTGCGAGTGTCACTCCACGGAGTTCTCTCCGTCACGGAGTGGGAGTGGGTGGTGTGGTTTGGAATTGGGCCTTCCTCTGAGGTGACCAGGGATGTTACAGGCCACCATTTCCTGTATCAGATATCAGATCAAGATGAGTTATGCAAAACCAATGTGGGGTTTTCTTGTTCTTTTTTAAATGTATTTAATCATATTTCTATTCTTTTATTTTTTTATTTGACCATTACTCAATGTGGGGCTCTTGAAATAACGTATTTTTTCATGTCTTTGTCTTTTTTTTGTCTTTGTTGGATGTACAGTAGATCAACCTTAATGTCAGTGGTTGTTTTAACAATAACAGCTTTCATGAATGCTGATAGAACAAAGATATAAATATGAAGGGTAAAGGTAGAGTAGTGTGACTAACTTGCTCTAAGCCAACGGATTACCAAAAACAAACACATTCACACCCTGGCCTCACAATCGGGTCAACTTTTCCCCTACATTTTGCAATGTATCCTTCAAACTATTATAGAATGACGGTGCAAAAATTATTCCAATAATTGTAAGGCAGTGTTTAGACTTATACAACTTACAGGAGTGCCAGGATTTGCATGGTGGCAACATGCAATATGTGGATGTGCCGCACAAACAGAAGCCTGCATGTTGACAGTTGGTTCATAATGAAGATATGTTTTTCAGACACAATAACATTCTGCACAATATGATGGGATATTGTTCTAAATCCTCTGTGAAACTTTCTAAAACAATTTTTTGTTATAATCAAAGCTATTACTCCATGTTGCTATCACAGCACCATTCCATCGAGTGGATATATTCTGGATCTCTTGTGCACAATTTCATACACATTTTCCCAAATCTCAAGCTGACATATTTAGTTTATTTGGCCACTTTGGAATACTTTCTATAATGTTAAAAGGGCCCTGGAATTCCTTTTTGGGTTTTCATTTTCCTATAGATTGTCAAATAGGTTTTGGTGCATGTAAATGGTCTACAAAGGCTAAAATCCTTGTGTTCCCTCCAGAGGGAGTTTCTCTCCCACACACTCCCCCCTGCCTGAAATGCCTCCATTGGACTCTGTTGTTTACTTCCGTAACTGACATAGCACTCGCGCTTCAATTGGCTAGCGTTTCAATACATTGTGTGATAGGCTAAGGGTCATCTCTAACATGGTTGACCAATCACAACAGAGCCGGCCAGCTAACCAATCAGAGCAGAGCATGGGCTCTGGTTTCAGACAGAGGGTGAAAAGAGGTGCTGCAGCACAGGCAGGATGAGAAAAATAAAGACCTTTTGAACATTAAAGCATGGAGACATGTCACAGTAGAGACCCAAAATAAGATTGTGTAACCTGAACATTAGCATAATAGGGCGCCTTTAAGTATAAGGTATTTGCATGTGTTTACTGAACCGCATAAGTGTGCCAATGCTTGTTATGAGGAACAAGAATATATTGTTCCATATTAGCAATAAAAAGCTAGCATTCCTGATTAATTCGTTTTTTGTCAACCTGAAACCATGCATTAGAAAAGAGAAAAAGTTAAGAATGTTCCTGCATGGCAGCTGCTCACAGTGTAAAACACTACCAGGTATTCATCACTAGATGTCCTCATAAAGTCACAGAATATCCCTGACACAAAACGGCTGTGCGGATTAGTTCAGTCCACAGGATGGCAAGTGTGAAAAGGCGTCATGTGCCAGCAGTCCTCCTGCTCCCTTTCCCCCTTGGGAATTACAACCAAAAAAATGATGCAGAAAAAGAGTACGCAGAGTGTTTTCTAATTGTCGGCTCGGGGTACTTTAATTCACGGATCATCAACCGCACATCTGTCCTCCTCCTCCTCCACCATCAGTCTGATTCAGCACTTCAACACCTACACAGAGAACCAAGAATAGACTCATACTGAGACCGGAGAGAGGAGAATAAAAAAACAACTGCTGCCTGAGACCACCCTGTCCCATCTCATCTCGTCACAGGGTGGATTTCCTGTGAGTGATGTGACAGACATAAAGCTACAATGCACATAGAGGTCTGAATGGTGGAGATAGTCATAAAGGGACCCCTCCCCTCCTCAAAACATTGTTATCACTGCCCAAAGCCCATGTGGTTTCATCCAATATGCTACCTGGGTGTTTTCTCCACCTCCAAACACACACCTGATGCTATAACAACATATGTGTATACACTCTTTCAATGGTATGTATTTAGCTTCCGCATACATACAACACACACCTAAGGCTTGTTGTTGATCATTGTGCCTGCAGCTGGAGCATTGTAGGTCACCTTTATTTCAAAAGGTTTCCAAGTTTCCAAGTATGGATTCAAAACATATGTTAACTTCCATTAGCTCTGCTGCCCTGAGCTTCCCCTGTCGCTCCAGCACACTCCAAAGCGTGAGATCACTCAACAACCCCCCCCCCCCTTCCCCTCTCCTCATTCCCTCCCTTCCCCATATCCACCCCCACCCGCTCAGTGCAACCCCCCCCCCCCCCCCCCCCCTCATTTGGATTCAGTTTTGGAGAGCGAGAGGATGGCAAACATGTAGAACTGAACTGACCGTGATCATTGCGAGGAGCAGCGCAGCGCGGGAGGACGTTTCGCGCGTTTACGCTGTGTGAATGTTATTGTTGTGAAGGAAGAAGCCTGATCAATTAATGAACTTTGAAACAGCTTGAAGGCTGGTGGTTGACAAGTTGCCAGACATCGGATGCGCGCCGGATCCAACTGACAGGATGGAGTGAGACCATTTACGCACAGAGGTTGCCTCAAGGATTGACCTTTGTGGGAATCATTCCTGAGACAAACACATCGGTAAGGATCAATGAAGAATGTGAGCGCGCCTGACTCTCTCCAGACAGGGTGGATGCAGCCCTCGGCGGTGTCATGCGTCTTGCCCCGCAGCCAAGCGCGCAACCCTTGCGGCTCTTAGTTCTGCTCCTCCTCACCGTGGGGGGGATCACATCCCCGGTGCTCACCCCGGGCTGCCCGGACAGGTGCGTGTGCGATGACCAGCTGGTGGTTCAATGCGCGGGGCAGCACCTGACCACCTTCCCGGTCAACTTGCCTCTGTCCACGCGGCAGCTCATCATCTCCAACAACCGTATCGTGGAGCTTCCGCCGCTCGCGCTCAACTACCTCTCGGATCTGGTGTACCTGGACTGCAGCAACAACTCCCTCACGGAGATCTCCGAGTCCACGTTTGGGAATCTACAGAAGCTGGCCTACCTGGATCTTTCCTTCAACACCTTGGTGCGGATCGAGGACAGGACGTTCGGGCCCTTGGCGAGCCTGGTGATGCTGAGGATGACCGACAACCCGGGGCTCTCGGAGATCCACCAGGACGCCTTTGTGGATAACGCCGCCCTGCAGGTGCTGGATGTGAGTCGCAACAACCTGACGGTGGTGAACATCACCTCCCTGATCGCGCTGCCCGCCCTGCGTTCCGTGGGGCTCAGCGGGAACCCGTGGAGCTGCGAGTGCGAGAACGAGGACCTGTGCCTGTGGGTGCACCTGGAGGACTTCAAGTTCCAAGGTTTTTACTTCTCTTTTATTCTAATGTCATGTGAGGTGACATAATCACAACATGACCTTTGACTGTTGCTTTTACTTAGTATCAAGTTGAAAAGCCCCAGAGAGCCAATCACACAACTGCTGCCCCAGTTATTAATTATTAGATAATGCTCTGTTATGTAAACTATTGGCCTTAGTGGATGACCTCGATATTCAGCCCGGAGGCTATCCCATGAAAGGGGAGAAAGTTATTTATCACATACTTTATCGTACAGAAATGCAGCGCTTAATAGTTGGAAATCTTATAAAAGATAGTGTTTGTAAGGTTTAATTTATGTTGTTATGTTTATTTTACCAATGTTCAGTTATAAACCATAGGTCCAACTTTTGGGTTTGCAGATTATGAAAAATACTCCTTCTTGCTGGATTAAGCTGTTGACCCTATGACCTATGTGGTATTTGGTGTAATCCTTTAATTGCAAAATATTCAACAAACAGCAACACAGCAATGATAAAGAACCTGAAACTATTTTGACACAGGGAGTTTTTAATACAGGCCCTGAATCAGCATACATATCACATCCTTAACCTTCAAATGTATAATGATTGAATTGTTTTTTTGTATTAACCATTTATGAAGTGTATACCCTTGAGGGTGCCTTATTGAAAGGTAAACATAGCCAAGGCAAATGTATCCATCTAGCACATTTCGTAAACAGGCGCCTTACATAATGACGCTTGAAAAAGACACATATCAGAAATAAAGGTACGTTAATGTTATTTTTCCAAAGAAATCTTTAAAATACATAGATAGGTGGAATATAAGAGTTTGAATTAAAACGTTTTGTTTTTAAGTTCAATGCAATTTCAGTGCAAAACATCAGACAGAGTGACATTTCAGTCAGGGACATAAAAGCAAGCAATTATTTTTGGTATACTGGCTACGTCAGTGCAAATCTTGATTATTTTGGCAGTTTGTTCCAACAGTGGACGGTATAGCTAAAAAACAGTATATTAAAAGCAACATATGAAGAAAAATAATGGTTTTAAAAGATATTGCTGAAAAAAATGAAAATACTTATCAATGGGGCCCTATTGTGCTCATTTCCAGGTTTATGTTTATATTCTGATGCCTTTACTGTGACATGTCTCTCTCCATGCTTTAAGCTCTTTATTTGTCTCATGTGCTGCAGCACCTCTTTTCACCCTCTGTCTGAAACCAGAGCCCAGTCTGCTCTGATTGGTTATCAATGATTAGCTTATCACATATATTGTGTTGGAGCGCTAGAAGCGCAAGTGCTACATAGTGATGTCACGATGTTACAGAGGTAAACAAAGGAGTCGAATGGAGTTGTTTCAGGCAGGGGGGAGTGAGTGCAGAAACTCCCTTTGAAGGGAACTATTGGATTGTAGCCTTTGCAGACCATTTACAGGCACACAAACCTATATAACACACTATGGGAAAGGGAAAACCCCAAAAAGCATAATAGGGCATCTTTAAAGTTCTTAACAAAATGGCATTTTAAGTCTCCCTCGCCCTCTTCAATTATTTTATTTTTTTACCAAGCAAACCCGTAAACCCTAACTTCTAAATTCCGCTCACATCATGCCATCAGCATTCTCATTTCCACTATGTACGCTGCTGGAGATGCAGTGTGGCGTGAAAATATGTCACATATGTAATCGCCTCGCAGTTTGGAGAAGTCTGCAAAGTTCTCAGGTTTCAGCGAGACAAGAGACGCAGGTGACGACGGTGGAGCGTGACGGCATTCAGACTCAAATAGCAAAGAGGGTGAAAGAGGATCAGAGGCAGGGAGCCATTTCTCCTGCGGTCCATTATCTCATAAGGATTCCTCAATCTCTATTTTGTCCAGCTATTGGAATACCGTGCAGAAGGTGTGATTAATGAATCATTGGTGCACCATCAAATATTGATCCCCCCTTTTGTTTTATTATTGTCCGGATTATAGATGATATTCTGTGTGGATGTGGCACTATATGCAATAGGCCATGCTATTGATATTGCATTTTACTGAGCAAGAGTCACAATTCTATCACCGCGGATATAATACATCTGCCACGCTTACTAAAAAGGCATCCCCTGCTTTTCTCCCCCCCTCACACACATACACACACTTTGGTTCCGCATTGGTCCCTGTGCAGCTCAGGCCAAAACGAGTCCAGCAAGAGCTGTCCTATTTTCCTCTTGCTTGGTGCCTTTTGTCTCGCTTAATTTGGAGTGGAGCCTCTTCCAGTGACAGCTGCCAGCCAGGGAGAAGGCGGACGCATAGATACTAACACATTCTTCACCTCTGTGATGTACACACAGGCTGTCCATCTCCTTCTGTGCATGCAGGCAAGACCTCACTCTCTCTTAAAATCAAGAGAAATTGAGGAAAACCACAAAAGACATTCACTGAGTCATACATAGACCCAGATGAAGCCCACTTATATTGCTTGAGGGGTGGAAACAGAAGGAGGATACTTTGCTGTGTTTCGGCTGCGAGCTATGTCTCGGAAGCCTTATTTACGCTCTTCTGGCTCTCACCTGGCTCATGCAACACCGCTCTCTTGTCGACTTGGTTTAGGGGAAACACAAGATAGCAGGCGACTGAGCGAAAGTGAGAGTGAAAGCTTCAGGAAGGAACCAACAGATTCTCCTCTGTCTCGCCTTCCTGGCTAACACTCTTTCAGCTGTTATATAAGGAGAGCATCTAGAAATAGAGCAGAGCATGGATGGGGGAAGGAAGGGAGGGGAAAGCCCTCTTCTTTGATGCCGATCCCTTTCGGGGTGGGGAGGAAGGGAGGGAGGGGGGTGAAGCCAGAAGGGTTTCCTTCCTATCTGTCAGGCACACACATACATATTGACACTCACATATTATTGTGCAAGGACAGACATAGAAGCTAAGTCTTGTGGAGGGGTTTTTGAATGTGTAGGCTTTACTGTATGCTAAGAGGAAGTGTGCATTTCTGTGTTTTTGTTATATCCAACAGCATATTGTGTGGACAGTGCACAGTAGCAGCTTTTGAGAGGATCAGAGTATGCTTTGAATGTTCTGTGGTAGATAGAGCTTAGAGAGGCTGACTGTACTCGTGTTCTTCTTCAGCTGCACACTCGCTTTCACATCTGTGAGCCGCAGAAGAGCTTGTCTGAGGATAAGAGCGGAGATATATGCACCGAATGAATAAAATATCAGGTTAAATACATTTCTGACGTCCCATGAAATTAACTTAAGAGTGATTTGATTGATAGCTACGGAGTGATCCCTGTCGCCCTCTGTCAGAACACAACTCCCACCAGAATGAGTCATTCATAACACCTTGACGCCACGTGTTGCTACTGAGAGCGCATGGAAAATATTTAGCAAGCTGGCGGAAGTGGGACATGGTTATCTAAAATGTGATGGTTTAAATAGACAGCTAAAATAGGATAAACAATTAAGATAAACATGTTTACAGCCTGTTAGGAAATTGGTCATGGTCTTATACAGAGGTAGGCTACATTTTTTAACAAATAACCCGTTTAATTGATATCAAGCCCTAAATTATAGATTTTGTTATATATATTTGCTAACTTTTGCTAACTAAGTTAGCATCGCAAGGGCTTCTTCGACACAAAGCAATGGGATTTTGGAATATTGCATAACATAAGATCTGTTGCAAACACATTTTTAGGATCCCTACACATTTTATTCGACATGGTAATCTCATTAAAAAAAAATCTGACTTTGAGTCGAGGTGACTTGGAAGTGGTAAAATGCTAAATCATTTCAGAGATTCCTGACTCATTTCTGCACCATTCTAATATGTGGCTGCTTTAAGTGACTAGTTGTCAGCTCTGCTTCAACGAAGTTGGAGTTGATCTGTTGAGTTGATCCAACAGCAAGTATGACCTCTTTGCCAACTTTTGGATAGGCCAAGACTTAGGCGGAGTTAGCACTTTCAAGATGTCGACTGCTGGAGCCACACACTTTGAGATTCACAACGGCTATTTGTTGGGGAATCATTTTGTTAGGTATTTAACCTTTGACACAATTCATAATTTTCTCCTTTCCCATGGCATAGATCTACGACCTTGGGTATTGCTGCTATCTCTCTTAAGGAGGGGCAGCTTGGGCACATTGTTGTTGCCAGTTTATGACCGAGCACAAGCTGCCATGAGGTAGTTTATCGTTCAGGGACATCTAGAGGCCCTTCTTTTTAGGAACGTAGGTTCCCGGCACACATTCTTTTCTATGTACGACGCTCTAGTTAGATTCAGGGTCCATATTTGTTTAGTCTCGCTGATGAGGAATGTTGATTATTACACTCTGAACTAGTTAAAACCTCAAACTGCAGAAGAGATCTTCAGAATTGGTTTTGCGACCGCTGTCACCTCGTGGCTTGCAGCACGTCTTGTCAATTCTCCAGCCGCAACTCCAAATAAAACATCAGTGCTTGCCATCAAAGTTCCAGCTCTCCCTTTGTCTCTCTGAGTTTCGTCTCCATTGCTTCAGAAGTTGTCATCACACTATTCAGGAGGGTAACATCAAGGACACTACGTCCATATTTTAAACAGTCTTTGGCCAAAATGAATGAATAAACAGTTAATTGAACTATCGTAACTGAAGCGAAACTGGTTAAAATACTGAAGGGTCTGGCTGAAACAGTTAGCGAAAAGCAAAAGATAAACATTTCATGGAATTAATGGATGAACATGTGAGTTAGCTTAAAGTAATGTGATGGTTCAAATAAATAAATAATGAGACACCGGCTGGTATAATGTTGTAGAGGTATTTCATGTGGAAAGACTCACACATGTTCTGAGTTTTCAACAATCAGAGTTTAGTAAAAAAAATGCCGATTAACAACCACAACAAAGGTCTTCGATTGTTCTTTTTTTACAAAATAAAAACAACTTGGCTAAAAGCAATTGGTAAATGATACCTGAATGGTAATAAGAGTTAGCAAAAAGTAAGAGAAAAAGTGTCACTGCAATTGGTAGTAGTAGGTATGCTAACTTGACCAAACCTAAACACTAAC